CTCACAATCTGGGTGTTAAAAGTATGAAAGTCTAAGGCAGGGGTGGCCAAACTTGCTTAACGTAAGAGCCGCATAGAATAAACGTCAGATGTTTGAGAGCCGCAAAACATGAACAAATATTACAGACATACTTTTATTGAAGAATATGCAAATTTGTTGCCAAGACTGTCAAAAACAAAAGGTAAAAACAGATATTGATAATGGTATATGTTTGTCCAATTATATTTATTTGTTTGCTAATTATATTTAATTGTCTAAGAGAAAGAGAAAGTGAGAAAGAGGCGGAAAGAAGGCAACTTTAAATGTGTTCTCCTCACGCTTGGCTTGGAGAAGGGATTTAAAGAGACAAATGCCTTCTCCAAGCTGGCCGGTGGAGGAGGGAGGCTTTGAGAATGCATTTAAAGTTAAAGTTGCTTTCTTTCTCTGCTACCCCCACCTCCAGCGTACCAAGGAAGGGGAACACTGGCTGGGGAAGGGAAGACCAATTGTCGCTTCCCCAACTGCTGTCAGGTAGCCCTGTCATAGATCTGGAATGTGGAGGGGTGCACCTCCTCTACATTTTCAGCTCTTCCCTGTCCAGCTTCTGTGCGCTATCTCATGCTTGACCTTGCAGTCTCCAGCTGCCATTTACTCGGCTGGGAATGTTAACGGCTTTTGCACTTTGCCCACTTGCTTGTGCCCGCGCGTGTGAACAATAGCCATTGGCTTATGCTCACAGGGGGGTGATTTGATGTTACTATAAGTCAGAGGCCCTTATACTGATGGTTATTCCTGACACGATCTGTACACGTGTTCTTTAGTACTGGAATCACTAATAAACAGTTCTCTTCTTATGATGCCCTATGTGGTGTAACCTGACTGAGGAGCCTGACAACTGCACTGCTGGGAGCCACACAATATGTGTGAAAGAGCTGCATGTCGCTCCTGAGCCGCAGTTGGTCACCCCTGGTCTAAGGATGGGATGAGAGATTAGAGTAAGATGGAGGGCAGGAGAGAAACCTCCTTTTGAGTGTTTGTTTTAAGCTGTATGTAGGGGTAGGTAACTGGTATGAGAAGGATGGGGCTTTGGGAGCCATGCCTATATATACCTTTTCCTAGCTCTTAGCTTACAAACCTAGACTCCATGTTATCATATGGGTGAAAAGGGAAAGTCTGAGCATTTAACAGTGCAATCCTAAGGGGGGGTGACCTGAAAGCCCTCAGAGAGGCAACTGACCTTTGTGTTGGCATATGTCCAATATATGCCAGCATAAGGGCCAGTTACAATGGCGCAGGCATCCAGCACTGTTCTGTCACTCTCGGGCACCGGCAGCCATCTGTTGGCACAACCGAGTTGTAGGCCCCTGTACCAGCATGGTTATGGGTGGTTTTGGGGGTGTGGCCAGAGGTAGTTGGCTCCCTGAGCCCTTTCGTCCTGGGAATGCCCTCTGCCAGAGGCAGAAAGTTATGCCAACAAAAAACAAGATGTGGCCCATAGGTGCCAATTAAACGGAAGACTCAAGTTGTCCCCCTGCTACAGCCTCGCCAATTATGCTCAGAGGAGCTCAGGATGCCAACTACAGGTTTGTCCAATCACCTCCCTCCCCAGGGTGGCCAAGCCCCCTCCCCAGCACCCAATCACGCCCCCTCACCCTACAAAACTTCAGCCAGGACATCTTACAACTCAGTAGTTAGGGTGCATGGCATTGGACTCCACCTCAGAGCTCCCTGCTGTGCAAACGTAGAGCAAGAAGCAAGGCACTTTGGTGATGGGAAAAGCACCACAGGGCAAGCACTTAGCACTAATACCCAAGGAGGAGAGCTCTGTGGCTGACCTCTCCAATTTTAGAACCCTAACAGGGACTCTACCTTTGGAGGCTCAACCCAAAGGGAAACCACACACTGACAGGTAAGCAAGGGCAAGGATCCCAAACCTGCTCCCCATTCTCCTCACTAGAGGCTGGGTACCACAACAGCACCTCCTGCACTCAAGCCAAGCACTGAGTTCGTGCAGGGGTAGCACAACTCACAGCCATGCAGCATCATGGCCCTTGACATGTCATGAGAAAAGATCCCAGGAAAGTTTCCCAGGAGAACTCTTTTGGGGGGGATGCTCTGTCATTTGCCTGTTTCCCACTCTCAGCAGAGGACAGGGTGTGTCAGTGGTTTGGGGAGGATCTGGCAGCTGCTCTACTGTACATGGTGAACCAGCTTGCCATGTGACCTTTTAACTCATTCCTTGCAGAATCGGAACCTTGAGCAGCAGCTGTAGGTGCTACTGTGGATCGTTCGCCAGCTATCTGTGAGCACTTCAGCACAGGACAGGTGAGTGTAATTTGGATGGTACCATCATGTGCCTCAAGGGGGGGGGGTTGTGGCGAAACCTCCCCATGGGGCTACATTTGCAGACCCTGTCAGGACAACACATTCATGGCTGAGCCCGGCATGGCACTCATGCCCGCTTGCCATAGCTGGACGTATCTCTGTTTTTCTTTCCTGCAGGTGAAGATTTAACAGGGAGACTTGTGGGTAAGGCAAGTTCCACCCCCCACCCCCCACACACACACTGCTCAGTCTGCAGTTCCAGCTCTCCTCTTGAAGTGGAGCGTAGCATCTGGCCATCCCGTCCAAGTTCCACCTGCAATGTCATCCCACTTAGATGCATGCTGTGCCAACATCTTGTCTCACACAGTGGCCAGCCTGTTCCTCTGGGGGTCCAACAACAGGGCATAGAGGCTGAGACCTTCCCCTGATGTTGACTCCTGGCACTGGGATTCAGAGGTTTACTGTCTCTGGACTAGTCACCATGGATAGAAGCCACCGTGGCTAGTAGCCATTTATCCTCCATTAATCTATATAATTCCCTTTTAAAGCTGTCTATGACTTCACAAGGGAGCCCAGTAAGAGGTGCATCGGGCACAAAGCATTATACTTCTCAGGGACCTTGCAATGTGGAAGTCCATCCCTTCTCTCTCTTCACAAACACACACACACACCTGTCATAAACATGGGCATTTTACTAGTATAATAAAACTCAGATTTCATATCATATAGTCCTAGAACATTTCATTATCATTATAATCATTACAAATGCCCCATAAAGGAAGGCCAGTATGATTATCTCTGTATTACAGAAGAGGGCCCGAGGCTGAGTGGGTACTGGTTTGCTTAAGGCCATCTGGTAAGTTCACAGGCTCAGATAAGAGCTTAGACCAATGCATCACTTTTGAGCTTCGCACATGTAGTTTTAACCTTTGAAGGCAGACACACATTCTGATTAATGCGGCTCTTTTACAGATGTTGGAAACATGAAAACTGCTCTGAATCCCTTTTATAGAAATGTCCTCAGCTGTGAGATATATTAACTCTTCCAAATACTTTGGGGCGAGGGTATTTTGGATTTTATTTTATATGTTTTGAAATGTGATTTTTTTTTCCCCAGCTACTTTGAGCCATGAGGAAAGGTGGGATATAAACAAACAAACAAATAAGTACTTCCAGTTCCTCATAGGATGTAAAGTGGTCTAAAAAGCATGATGAAGACTGAATGTTCAGAGTTCAAAGCAACCATGCAAAACTTGGACATATGACAATGGCATGACTATTGCCCTTTGTATCCAGCTTTTGACTCAAACCACATTTGATGTGCCACTGCTAAGGCAGCAAGCTAGGAACGTAAACACAGCTTAAGTAATGAACAGAAAAATCACGTGATCACTTTACAATGTTAGAGACTCTGAGTAGAACTGTGCTAATTGGCCTGCCACAGATTTATCTTTCCCTGCATTCATTTCCCCCCTTCAAACCAGCAGGCTATATTTACATTGAACATTACTCTGGGTTTGAGTCTGGTTGATTTGACAGCTACATCAAGAGGATCAGAGATGGGAAAGTGGTGGAATGGGCTGTAAAGTTTGATAAAGGAAAGGATAAGTGATTTCCCCAGATCAGTATCATAAATCCCTCAGCACCCTGACATCCAAAGAGATATTGTGGATACATTGCTGGAGTAGGATTTGGGAGACTTGGTTTCAAATACCCACTGCCATGGAAACTGGCTGGGTGACCTTGGTTCAGTCACACACTCTCAACCTAGCCTGCCTTCTCAAGGTTACAGTGGGTTGCTGTGGGGCTAAAATGGAGGAGAGGAGAATGATGTAAGCCACTTCAGGTCTCCACTGAGGAAAAGGCATAAACGTATAAATAACATAAGTAAGAAAGGTTTTCCCTCATCCTCAACTCTTGTAAATGCAGACCATTTCACCTTTCCCATCTTCCTTCCCCACTTTGCAATCTTTGTTTTACGAAGAAATGCATCTCTTTGCAATTGTTTTTAAAAGTTGTGTTGCTTGAAACTTGGAAAGTTGGTCATTTTGATCAGATTTTGATCAGATATGAATAAATCTTCCAAGACGTATGCAGACAATTGCTATTTTATTTGTATATTTTAGGATTGTTCAAAAATTCCTTCCACCTGCAGTCTCTTCTCCATGGCTACCACTACTATATGGATAGAATTCAAAAGAAATATATTTTCCAGCACAAATCTACCAATGGGCAGAGGAGAAGGACGTAGTATATCATGAAGGGATTCCACTGTGTATTTCATTACAGCAAAAAAAAATATATAATCTTTGAGCCACCTGGGCTACAAAGTAAAGGAGAACAGTGGTCTTCCCCATTCTGTCTTCATTAGTCTGCACAGCTTCAGCACAGAAGGCACTACCATAATTCCTATATTCCTTCATGAGCTATGCCAAGGACCAATACAAGCCAATTTATTTATTCTTGCTGAAAGCACATATGCAATTTTTTTTCTTGATTTGTGTATTCTAAATTTATGCAAGCAACACTGAGCGCTGATATCATGAATTAGAAGACAGGCTGCTAAACAGGCTTCTTGAGTCATCCCAACTCATCTATGTTCAGCCTCTCTGGCCTTCAAGGAACAACTTGAATCAACAAACTGGTTTCCAGCGCCATGAATGCTGCTCCCCCACTACAAAGAACTTTGATTTTACCTCAGCCTGGGAATTAGATGGTAACACGGGGGTTTCATTTTCTGTATTTCCAGAAGGACCATTACTTGGTGAACCAGGACCTGATCCTGGGGAACTGCTACTGACTGATGATTCTGTGGAAAAGATAAAAATAAGAACAGATGGGTAATTAGGAGATATCAGCTACATTCAGCATATATGACAACATGAGTTTACAATGTACCCTTTATTCACTGATTCCCCCCCCCTCCCCCATGATGTTTCTGATATACAAAGGGCATAATTTATTACTGGACCATTTTCCCTCCCTCAGAGCTGGCAGGTTACTCAGTGGCAGGCAAGATATTGTAAAAGAAATGCCTAATGAGCAAAGGAAAAGGAAGTACCTTTAGCTGCATTTTCTGCTGCCTCTGTGAGAGATCAGCATGACAAAGATACTGGACTCTCAAAGGTCATGAAAACATGTCATCAATTCATGAGGCCTACTGCCATTCCTAGGCTGTTTGGATAAACCCCTGGAGGACTCAGTTGTGAACCAGTCTTTATATGAGTAACTAATAAAAAACAATACCTCATTTGCAGTGCATCTCTGTCAGTGAACTCTGAAGTTGGAAATGTCTTAACTTAGCATTTTAATGGGTATACCTTATTTTGTTTTGCTGCAGAACATCTTGCATGTTTTGCTAATGATAAACAGTAACCACTTTTATTAGCTGAAGGATGGACACCAGCAAAATATCTTAATGGAGACAAGATACAATTGTAGACTTAAATTGACGTGATCAATCATGTAAAAGTACTTATTTTACAATGAATCTTTGACTGAAAATGAATGAATAGACAACATTGTTTTCAAGGTACCTTTTGGAGCTATTGCTTATTTTCTCTCTTTGTCTCTCTTTTTGAAGGTCCATTTTCCCTATATTAGTTAGTAGAAGGGTTATCATTAGACGACCCCTGCTGAATCAGACCAATGGTCTACTTAGTCCAGCCTCCCACAATGGCTAACTAAATGCATCAGGCCAGAGGCCAATGCCTCCTGCCATAGCTTCCAAATTGGTATTCAGAGGTATGCTGCCTCTGAATATGGAGGCCCTATCTAGCTGTCATGATGAAAGGTCATGAATGGGCTTAACCTCTATGGCAACTGATCTAAGTGGTAGCATGTGATTTTTAAGGACATGAGTGGGCATTTCAAAGCTGATAGAAATACAATGATATAACTAAGAAAATTTACAGAGAATACGTCTTTGCACATTCTTGCTGTCTGAACCCAACATGCAGATTTATCCTTAGCTGATCTAAGAAATTGCAATAGGCCACATGAAGAGGTAACTGCTGGACAGCACTGCTAGATTGTTGTTTTTAACTGCTTTTCTTTTAAATTGTTGTTTCTTATATTGAGCACCAAGAATGGATTGGAAAGAAAAGGGAACAAACAATATTAGCTATAATGGGTTAGATCCAATGACACCCTACCACTAAGTGAGGTCTTGCTCCAGTAGAAGGAGCCAAGTCTAGTGTGGGAATTCCTTGTTTCATCAGAAGAAGGCTCCCTTGGTTCGAAGAAGGCCTTCTGGAGGAAGAGAACCCAGTTAGTGAAAGGGAGTCATTGGTATGTTATTTATAAAAGAGACGTTCACATGTGTCTGTGCACTCAGGACCAAACTAAACATGGTGGTGAACTCATGGCTGCCATGAGTTCATGTTACCATGGACCTCTTCTCTCCCCCCCCCCCATTCTGTGCCTTTTCAAGAGATAAAACAACCACATGGGATGTGTGCCACCCCCATGGTTCTTTTGGTACTTGAAAAGATAAGAGAGGGAAGGGCTCTGCATCATAGGCTCAATCAGGATTGGGCCCTCATGGCATTTTAAAATAAGTTCAAAATGGTGACAGCAAACTTTTGGTGGCCATATGTTGGCCTTCATGTTTAGTTTGGCCCTCAGACTACTTGATGCAAACATTTTACCATCAAAGTATCCTTTGTTTCAGATTTACTTCGGGGGCAAACCAGACAAACCATAAAGTTCTTCCAGCATTTTTCCCTGTCATTTCTTCACAGAAATCCAGTTCTGATTAATTCAGGTTTCAGAGGATTTAAGTATTTTTCACATTCCTGAAAAGACCTTGTAGAACCAATGTTTGCCTCAAAAATCAAACATATAAATTCCTAAATTAGTACATGCATGCTTGCCCTTAATAGGACAAACATGGGCTTTGTAAGGCTGTTTCATGTTATAAAAGTGACACCAGGTAAGCCTTCTTCCCTGTGCACCACGTTCCTGATCAGAATTGTTTATGCCCTTCCCTTGTTCCATGTGTACTTTTTAAAGAGAAAAAAACCCACTGGGAGTTTCAATAATAAAATTTCCTAATTTTCATCAGGTTTTGGCCCTTAGATGTATTTTAAAGGAGAGGCAATGAGTAACTATGTTCAAGGGAATAAATACATTATAACAATAATTTTAACTGGCCTAAAATTGTATTTGTATTGCTCAGCTCTTATAACACAAAATAATATATATTTTCTCCTTACTAAATTATTAGTAGACATTTCTACCAAGATTGATAATCTGGCACTGAATATTTAAGGAGGATTATGCAATTTTTCCAATCATAGCAAATTGAACAGCTCTGTACAAAACATATCAGAAATTGCTGTGAAAACTGGGTTTTTTAATGTTCTGAACCATCCGTAGATTAAATCCTTTCATTTTATAAAAATGTCCAGTCTTTTTCAACAGCATCAACAGCTAGGGCAACATGTCTCAAGGAATCAACTGTTCATTTTTCCAGATGGGCAAAGAACAAAGATCAGTACTGTTTATTTTGTCCATCTGTCCAAGACTTCGCAGATTTCAGTTTACATTAGTGGATCTTTTAAAAAAAAAAACTTTTAGAAAAGAACACATCTGAAAGAAATAATTAAGTTTAAGATAGCTACTGAATGATTGGTCTTTTCTTTCAATAAAAATGATGCTTCTTCCAGTTCAATGCAGTTCAGTGTCACAACTTTGCTTTAAGCAAACATATGCATCTCTGTCCCATTTGAATTGAAGCAATGGATGGGTCTACAGCATCAACTGTAAAAAGAAGTCTTGAAGCCTATGTGAAAATACCAAGAATATTTTGGCACCATTCTTTAAACTGTGGCAGTTCGAGACCCTAGTGCTACATGACTGAGTGAGCTTCTGTCTCTGGCCCTAGCTCCTGCCAAATTAGCAGTTCAAAAGCAAGAAAATGCAAGTAGATAAACAGGTAACATTTTGGTAGGAAGGTAACAGTGTTCCGTGTGCCTTGGCGTTTAGTCATGCTGGCCACATGACCACAGAAATGTCTTTGGACAGCACTGGCTCTTTGGCTTGGAAACGGAGATTAGCACTGTCCCCTAGAGTTGGATTCGACTAGCTTTCAAGCAAGGGAAACCTTTACCTTTACCTTTATAATAAGGTTTAATTTTCACAGAATAAGGGTCTTCTGGCCAGCTATGTTTATTTATTTTAAATCAAAGGCCATCACAAACAAAAAAAGCTGTACATCTAGTAATGCAGAACAAATGCTGTACATCTAGTAATGCACTCAGGCAGACAATGCCAATGGGACTATATTTGGATAAAGTATACTCAACTGTTAGTATACAACACACCTATCTTATAAATAAGTTCAAATCTGGCATCTACCATGTGGATAATAAAATCTGCATAATGTGACCAGATATATATTGGGAATTTTTTTCTACAAAACCAGTGGAAAGTATGCCCTGTGCACTTTCTTTTCCTAGTCCACCTCATTAGATGGCCAGCAGTCACATAGAAGAGGGCCAGGTCCTTGCAAGGGAAAGGAAAATGGGATTTGCCTTTCCTGACAATCTTTGAAGGTCCTCTGCTTGTATTAAATAGTGTCCATGGCAGGAAACAAAGATTCTCTATACCTTGAATCAGCTGTAAAAATAAACTATAGTTTGTTGTTATAAGAACAAGCCTTGCATTTGCTTGCTTTTCCTCCTTCTGAACATCTGAACTAGGTGAAACGGCCAATGACTTTTTTTTGCCCACAGAAAGGAAAGAAAACAAACCATAGTTTGTAATTTTGTCTGGTTTGAATGTCACAACAACCGTTGGCTTGTCGCAAATTAGAAAGTGTTAAATCTTTGAGCCACACACGAGTCTAAGAACTTCTAAGACTCCTTCCCATAACAGCAAACTATGGCTTGTCATTACATCTAATTGCAGCCTCTAAGTAATGTATTTATTTTGATCACAGAGCAAAAGACAAATCTTACCTGCATCTCTGGACTGTTATGCAAATCTACATGCAATCAATTATAATAGTATTTTCACCAAATTGTTTGAGAGAAGGAAACGTTTGGATAAACAGTCTCCATTCCAGCCTCCATTACCTGTGACTTCGAACAGTCTCTTCTTGAATGTGCCAACCACTGTTCCATCCTTCCTTCTGAGTAAAGGACTGCTTCTTCTTTCTGTTACTTTTTGTTTTAACCTGGAGCGAACTTTCAAGTTGGGTTCTGAGGCTGAAAAGGGAAACAACAAAAATATTCATTACCACATTAAAAAAAAGAACAACTGTACAAAGTTAGAAAATGGAAATAGTTGATTCCTCTTCCTTCAGTCACAAGCAAGTTAGTAAGCATAATAGGTTTTCATTTACATGTACTACTTATTTATATAGAACATTTCATTTGCAAAGCTGTTCTAAGATTTTGTTGTGCTTACCCGCACAATAGCCCCACAAGACAGACCAACATCATTCCTCTGAGATCAAGAGACCAAAGGCTACAATGAATCCATTACAGACATTTCCAGACCCAAACCCAAAACCTTTTCCACTGGACCACATGATACATCCCTCCTCTTGATATTTTGTCTGATCAATGAGCTGCAGTAATGCTAGTCAGTCTAGAAAAACCTACCAAAAAGTATAGCTGTGTTGGGCTGTGGTAGAACAGCTAGATTTGAGTCCACTAGCACCTTAGAGACCAACAAGGTTTTTAGGGTATGAGCTCTCAAGAGTCAAAGCTCAAAGGTATCTGATGAAGGGAACTCATCCCCCCCCCATCTTGTTGACTGCTGCTGGAGTTGAATTGAGATGTTCTACTGCAGTCCAGCATGGCTACTCTTTGAAACTACCCAAAAGGTGTTTAGTATTCTCGTATCATGGATTGCACAATCTTTCCCACACCTTTTGCTTGCAATGACTCCTTAGCACAGTTCCAGCTCTGAACTGAATTGTCACCTTGCATCAAAAATATTTTCATATTTGTCATTCCTTTAGTCACTAACACCATCGAGGTCTATTAAGGATAGAGAAATTTCTGCTTTTAAGATTAGTGCTCTCTATAGCATTAAATTGCTCTGTTGACATGTAATGAAACTGAATTATCACTATTTTTATTTCTCAGCTTTACAATAATTGCAGTTGGGAGTGCGGCAATTTCTGCTGCTGACTCGGTTCACATTTAGGGTTATGTTCTATTTATAGCTTTCCACATCCCCCAATTGTAGGTGATTCCCAAATCAGTGCCTGAATAATGTGATATAATATGCTGGGTGCAGAGAAAGAGCTCTTCAACATTCGCCAGGGAGAAGTCCCACTTGCCTCTGAATGTGTCTTCATGCCCAGCTGCTTTGATTGCCTTTCTATTTTTAACCACCTACCCATCACTCCATGCATTTCAATCAATCGCATAAACAGAGAAGACAGTCTTTATGTAGCTGTCTGGAATTGTGCTCCAGTGGAAAAGATAAACCCTTCCATAAAAGATGAAGCGACATTATGGAAATGAAAAGTATTTTAGAATAAAAGGGGAAAGGATGCAATCAGCTTTAAAAGCACCAACACGAGTATCCCAGAAACACCACACCCAGAATACCTTTGAGAGATTCAATAGATGATGAAAAGTGGACAAGAACAGATGAGTTACTGTGATTGTTGTATTTATGCACTGGTTAATTTGGTTTGAGAAAACAGGAAACTATATATTGGAGACCGACACTGCAAGACAGGCAATAGAGTTTGGCAGCCACTTCAATGTCAGGGCCAGGTACAATTGGATACAGACATCTGGCATAAGCAGTTGTGAGGGGCAGGCAGGAACCACTGCAGCAACCAGCTTCTGCTGACCTGGCATAGACAGTCTCTTCACACAAGACAGACTACCAATGGGATTAGGTAAACATCAAGGGACCAGCTGCAAGTCAACCCAGCAGTCAAATGACAGGGGCAGAGCAGATGACCCCAGCTAAAATGGCCCTAGAAAAAGGTATGAGTAGCCTCCTCCCTAATTCCAGCATAGGCTCTATGGCATCTGACCAGCTCCTGACTGGCAGGGGAAAGGCTATCACCCCCACCTGATGCAGCCAAAGAGTTGGCTGGAAGGGAAAGAGGCCTGCTTCCTGGCTCAGCTGTCACCCTGGGCCAAAGGAGGCACAGCCACATTTGTGCAGGGATGAATTTCCATCCCTTCCAACTTCCCCCAGAAGTACTTAAAATATTTCCAGTTTGATTGGAAATGCTTTATAAAGATGTGGATCTCTGATAGAAAACAGGATGATGCTTCCCAAGGATCCATGCAGTATTTTGAATCAACAGAGATAATCCCAACTGTATCGCAGCAAGTAATGAAGTTGTACAGGAAATGGCGGATGGTGTAGCTATACAGCGAATAAATCCTTTGTCTTGACCTTTGGTCATGGTTTAAGATGGATATAAAATGTAGATTGTACTTGGGAAATCACAAGGACATAAAAGTCCATGAAAAAATGAAGAAAATGAAAGAAAAAAAAATGGAAAGACTGTGTCACTGAATTTATACAACAACTCTTCTTAGCTGTGTGATCCCATAATTTACAGCTACATGTTTGAGGAAAGGGATGGCTTTTCTTGAATGGTGGTCCATACCCCTAGCTCAGCTAGACAGAATAGTTATTTAGTTGGCTTCCAGGACAAAAATAAGACATTGTCAGTTATCTGCATAATGATCTGAACATACTGAAGAATTATTTTGTTGTGCTTTTACACCTAAACACACAATTAGGGATTAGCACTGTCTAGAAAATTTGTATCTGTAAGACAGACTTTTAAAAAGCAAATTGTTTGCCAGTGATCGGGCACAGACTGGTGGGAAGGTGATTTGTTCCTAGAGAAAAATATCACTATTGAGGTCGCTTCACAAACTGATCTCCTGCCTATTTCCAAAGAACTAGTTTGGACATGACATCGATGCTGAGGACAGCGTCATGGCCTTCTGAAGACACACACTATACCAGAGCAAGAGTGCTTCTCTGTAGGGGTGATGCAGATATTTGCAGGGGCAGAACTGCTTTACCATTAGGGGAGTCTAAGGATGGTTTTTCCCACTTTCCCCCCATTTCCTTCATCCAGCTTTCAAGTTAGGATCATGACCTCAAATGTAATTCTAATATATGTGCCAGCATGTAGGTGTTTGATGGATGAATACAATAGACTGGGGAGATGGAGTAGCCCTGCAGATTGCTGCTGCCACTTAAAAGTTGACAGGGCAGGGTCGACACTGGATGGGACTCTAACTTGAAAGGTAAGAGGGAAGGGGGGTAGGTTGACAAGCGAAAGCCAGTACTGTGTGAGTGAGAAGAGTTTTATAAGGACCTGATTTAATATGCTGACAGTGCAATACTAAGCAGACTTACACCCTCCTAAGTTCACTAAAGTCAATGGGCTTAGAAGGGTGTATGCATACTTTGGGCTGCATTGCCAGTCACTCACATAGTCCACTTAGCCTAATGCCGTCTAGCCCGACACACTGTGCCTTTCTAATGACTCCAGCCAGAGAGCTTTCTCAAGCCCTACTACTCAAGTTCCCTTGCCTGGAGTGATCTAGGGACTCAATACATGCCGTTCAGCTACTGATTCACTCCTGCCAAGGATGTCATTATGGGTCCCAGATGACACTGCAAGAGACTGCATAACATCTTCCTTTTAGTGTCAGGGGCCACTGATATAAATGCCTGTTTTATCACAGCTGTTTTGCTCTCAGTGTACAAATAGACCACCCTGTTCTTTCTCCCCAGTTCTTAAATCTGCCTGTCCTGATCTTTGAACAGCAATAAGCACTGCCAGCTTATTGTCATTTTGTTTGACTTATACAGTGTTAGTCCAATCAATAAAGGCAAATGGCATCTAACTGTAAATAAGGAGCAAGTAATATATATTCACTATGGTTTGGCAAGAGAGGCACACACGCTTTGAATGGTCAGAGACAAACATCAAGTAGAGATATCAGCATGTTTCTGCTAGAATGGACATAGCAGGGTGGACATACGGTTTTGCAGTTAATCACTTAGTGTGCTTTACATGCTAAACCTTTGACAATAATTGTTCTTCCCGATTTACACATGGATAAATGAAGAAAAGACTTGCATAGTAAGTCCATGGCTAAATAGGGCTTTGGAGTTAATTCCCCCAAGGTTATACTTCCTTTTCCATATTTCCTCCTATATATCCACAGGGTGTGTACAGGCATACAAACACTCACAAGTACCATCACAGTGTCTTCCAATATCCCCACATGATATTATAGGTGGATATAATTTGATCCCCAAGTGCTTACTTATATTCTTTTTTTAGAGCATAGTAATTTCCCCAGACTCTTACTCAATGTGAAATGTGAGGATTAAACCCTAGTGAGTCTAATCCATGAAAAGAATAATCTGTCATATGCAACATGATGCAATATGTTTTGCCCACCACTTCAAAGTAATGAACTCCATCACTTTCTCCTTATACGTTAAAAACTGTTGGATTTCACAACTGGGGCTATTACTGAAAGCTAAGCAGGAAAGGGGGTGTTGTTGTTGCTTAGAGTTGCCCAAAGGCAAGGCAGAAGTTCTGCTTCATAGAGGGCTGTTTGATCCAATGAAAATCATTCAAAAGCATCCCTTACAGCTGGAATTGTTCACAAAGGATTTTATAACATTTATATCCTCCTACAGAGAGGAGTATTGTATTCTTACAAATTAGAGCCAATGCACATGGATGCTACATCGACCAATTTCAGCCATTCGTGTGCATCAGCTCACCACCATAAACATTGGGCAATTTTCTGCATACGCCACGAAGTCCAGACTTGTGGTGAAAGGGAGAGAATGGCTTGGTCCACATGAACAGCTCACCAAGTGGAGAAAAGCTGCCATGTAGAGCAATATGAAGTGGCTTCCACATATATTCTGTCATGCTGTTAAAAGCAATGGAGAAATGCTACCTGTTCACAGCAGAGAGGCTTTACCTCAGTAAGAACATTGATTAAAGCAAGCTTAGTTTCAGATTTGGGTCTTTTATGTCTGGAATATAATACCAGTGCAATTTTAATTAGCTTCATGTACAATGTAACCTTCCATATGGTAGAGTAATTTAACAGAATTAATTGTATACCACCATAAGTCAACGAGACACTGAGGAAAACCATTGAAATGCTATTTCCTTTTCTTTGGAAGAGAATTATGTACAATTTCAGCATGATTTGCACTGCTAACAGTGAAGCCCAACGGGGAGGAATCATTCTCATTTATATTACTTTCCCATGAGAAAATCAAGAGCAAACTATAAAGTTAGTGTCATTCTTCATAAATAGTTCCAAAATACTTACTTGGCTTTGGCCAAGACATCTGATTTGGCAGAAGGAATCTTTAATCACATCTGTGAGCCCAACCAAATAGTCTGTGCATATATACACATGTGTCTTAATAACTCGAGAAATGGCTTTCGTCAATAATCAACATATTTTGTTTGAGAAGTCCTAGCATCATGGCCACAAACCAAGTTGCGCTTTGCTGTGCAGCGTGCAGAATATCTCTCCATGGGACAAAGCTTCCCTTATTTCAGAAGTGAATGAGATGCTCCTGAACACATTAAGGTCTATGGGAGCTTTTGGGTTGTATGATTCTTCTCTTCATTGATACCTCTTTCTCATTCCTGAACCATCAGACTGGTTCATTGGGCCCTCAGAATATGCAACTTTGTGTATCATAGCTAGGATAAAGAAAATTGATCCAATGAAGACAGGACTCAGGGCTAAGCAAGCAGCCCATACCTGGTGACATCCTTAGAGAGAATGGCCTCACATTCTGAGAATCAGCAATGGAAGTAATACAGAGAAGAAGCAAATGGAGACCATAATGATAATACATAATACAGAGAACAAGCTAATGGACACATGCACATTAACTGACATGAGAGAGGAACAAGCTTTTTAATTAGGATATTAATACTTATGAGTATACCTTGATTAGGAACCACAGGTATTAAAAGGGGGAGGGCATGTTATTCGGTATGCAATAAATATTTGCACACAGACTGAATTCCAAGCAATTATCCATGTAGGTATCAAGAGTGCATGGCAGTGTCCTCGTACTGCATGCCCTACCAACTGTGGCTGGCCTCACCCATCATATTTTGCCTTTTTTCCTCTTTTGCTGCTGGCAGCAGGACTGGCTGTGGCCAGCAGGAAGATCAGACAGAGATTAATGGGTCTGTCAAATGAAACTGGAAATTATGACATGCATACAAACCCCAGCCTGTACGCCAAGGTTTACTGGACAAAAATCAGTAGGTGTAAATACTAGAGCTTTCTCCTAAGTTGGTACACTATACAAATTTTACTTCAGGACTAAAAACTAAAGCAGTCACTCTATGTGATCACAGAGTATTTGTGAACAAACAATCTAAAGCAAATATTAAAATCTCTCGATCCAAGCTCTGCAACATTTCTCCAGACCTTTGAACAAGACATATTTTCAAAACTGCCTTCTGATTATGACATTCACAATTCTTCCACAACCCCAAGAGTCTACCTATTTGAAAATCAGCTTAAAGATGGACTTTGGTCCTCAACTATACATGCTTCTGCTTGGGGATACTGCGTACGTCAAAGGAAATTAACACTTGTTATGTAATTATTACAAAAACTGACTGTGAAGTTTTACAAGACTCAAGCACACCAGAACTTAAGCTATCCTGCTCCATTTATACCATATGGCTCCAGGGCCAGTTCTGGTATAATTTTAGTAGATTTCATCTTTAGGAAAACAAGTAATATGAGCAGCATCCCATAACCTTTCCTGGGAAAGTGAATGGCAATACTCAGTTTTGCTAATCAGATTCTATCTAGCTTCTTACACTTTGGCTCCAGATATTCTTGTTGGCCTCCCTAGTCTCCAGGCCATATTCAAATGGGTACTACTGACCTCAAGCAGCCTCCTTGCTGTTCACATGATCTATCCAGCCTAGCCACAAGCACTTCAATCTGTGCTCCAGATAAGGGCTTGGATCCCCTGGAAGCTTTCAGAAGATTGAAAGAATCCCCGTCTGTGGAGTCTGACTTCCTCACCCACACCTTTCACTGTCATCCAAAATGACCCCCAAAATAGCATGAGAGGATCTGGAGCTCTGCCTTGGGAGGGCGGTTTGGCAAAAATTGCCCCCCTGCAAAGCTTGTGGAAACTCTCCAGTGAACTAAAGTCAAACTTTGGATCAGGTCTAATGCAACCTATCAGATATTTCCTTCACCAGGATCCCATTGCTTTTGTCATTCACACAATAAATCCACTTTTGTTTTTGACTGCACATGCAGATAATATTTAGGGGGGAAATGCAGTAACAAGCCCTATAGCAATTCAAACCCACCCAACCCCTGCTCAGTTACAGTGGGTGTAATCATATATGTACAAAATCATCTGAAGACAGCCCATGTGCAGTCCTCCTAATAAGTTCACCTTTCAACCAAAATGTACTTCAGTGAATTTATAGCCCTATATTTAACAACTAAATGGTACACCCCCACTTGCCTATGATATTTACTTTTATAGCAGAGAAGCAGGGATATTGGAAATCTCATTTTATTTCTAACCCTACAAATGACACATAAAGTAACTGAATATTATAAAATATGCTAGTCTTTGGTGAAGAAGCTTCCAAATGAGAATGAAATACCACATTGGTTGAAGCTCCCAGTGAACTGGCACTTACTATTTGCAATTTTTTTAAAAAGGAGGGGAGGTCCACTCCTTGGGACAAAGGTCAAATACTTGCAGGAAAAGAACCTGTCTCTGTATAGGAAAGTTTCATGGAAAAGCTTTGTCTGGAATGGCCCCATGAGGTTGTTGTAGGCTCCAGAATGTCCCTTTTGCCTAAGGGATGGCCCTGTGGCCACCCTGATCAGTCTAGGGTCATTTGACTTGTGTTTCCCTGGTTCCTGTTGCTTCCCCCCCTAAAACCAGCAAGCAATCTTTGGGAGCTTTGTCAATCTGTTGCTGAGGGCTGACATGAGGTCCTCTCCAATTAGGAAGCAAAAGGCAGTGCCTAAAACAGGATACAAGTAATATGTGAACCAATCCTTAGAGCTGTCATCGAAAAGTTCTTTTTCCCTAGCACGTGGCCTACTGTACTGATGTTCTGTTTATACTTTCCCTTTGAAAGCCTGTCACCTAAACAACAACAGAAGTGACCAAAATGAGATCAGTTCATTATTCATCCATGTATGTCATATGTTGTGTTTTTAAAAGCACCCCAGAGTTGTGTGTTCTCTCTGTAGCTGACGTATGGCGTGCCCAAATATTTGGAATAATGTATAGAAAACATCTGGCTTCAATTATATTGCAGTCCTCTTATACAGACAATGAGAATTGAATTAAGGAATATTTTGAAACCCCCACAGAGATGTAAAAGTATTAACAGCTGCACCAGAACGTTACTGTTCAAATGTTTGAAAATGTTTGGCTGTACCAATCAACAATTTTACACCTCATAAATATCAATAATGCTTTTTTTTAAATGCATATTTAAAAGGGGAGGGAACCCTAAATTTCCTAAACATAGTATAATCCAGAGAACACACACACACACACACACACCATATTGAGGCAGGGAAAATACAATGAAACGAGGCACTGAAAAGGCCTGGCATCCTACATATAAAAACTATAAGAGAGAGACTGAGCGAGTGTTTTGTAGCAGTTTCTCATGTTTGCCAATACATCAAAAAGCAGGCTAACCAGTCCAGCAGCTTGTGATTTGTTTGGGGTTTGTTTTGCAAAGAAACTTCTACAGACGTAAGTTGGTAGTGTATACATTTTCCATTTTACAGTATCTCTTAAATGCTTGCAAGTCTCAACTTCTATTGTCTTTCATGTTGGCACTGGCACCGTGCAGGTCTGGTTGAGACCTACTCCAACCTCTGTGTGAAGCTTTCAGCAGACCCTGAAAACTAAAAAAACACCAAATCCAGAGACCAGTCCGCAGTTACACCCTGCTGTGTGTGCCTAGGTCTTCAACCGATGACTAGTGCAGTCGGTGCCAATCATTAATGCTAGAAGAAGGAGGATGTGTCTGAACTCATATCCTCCATAAACAGAATTCACATCCTTCTTTCACCTATATGAAAGGATGCAGGATCCCCCATTCAGTTGTTCAGTCCTCTAACCATTTGTCTGGAGCGGCAAATTTAATCACAAATTGTGATAATCTCCCTTTTAGGAATCACTTGAGCGGTTGGAAGAAATACACACGGCGACAAGTACACAGTCCTGGCCCCATAATTCATGCACAGGGTACTTTTTTGCATATGGCTCTCACAACAACAAAGATGCATAAGCAGAAGCTGAGAGCTGATGCAAATTTAGCAACAGAAGAGCTATTGGCCAGGACCCAGTGCAACTAATTTTGTATGCCTAAGGAGGTTTGGGGTTATTTCTCAAATAGCAGCCCTGTATGCCACATGCCAAACCTCTACGGACTTTTCAAAGCAGCTTGAGATATGGCACAAAGGTCTGCTACTCAACAAAAGAAATTTAGGAATCCTCTTCAGCATGCCCAAGTCCATAGGCATTCCTCAAGTAGCTTTTTGGATCTCAAGCACTGCTTTTTGAGCAACAACAATAGGAGAATTTTCAGATTACAAAGCCAGTATGAACTTCCCTTTCCATATTTGCCAATTTTGTAATTGTCCACTAGAACACAAGTGCAAAATCAAAGCTACATTATAGATAATGAAATGACTATGAGTTTAATGTAAGCTGTTTCTACTCACCTGTTTTGCGAAGTGGGAAATCATCCTTGGCGTCTTGTGCTCCTGGTAATGTGTATTTGTAGGAAGGAGATGTCCCACTAAGGGGTGGAGAACTTTGATCCAATGAGGTATGGTGGGCAGCCCTACAGGAGGTACAGATAAATGGTCATCTCATTGATGGCTAACTTGTGACTTAGCACCCATGCTGAACACTCAGCTGCATTTGCAATGCATCTTGTTTTCTCCAAGTGGGCAGAAGTCAATGGTTCATACAATAGCTCTGATTTGGGATCATCTTCTCCAAACAGCTCACAAAAGGCATGCTGGATAAATGCTGTGATAGTAGAGACAATATTTGCCACTGGACGAGCAATGTCATGTTTCCTAATCTATACCAGATTAATAAAGACCGACTCCTATTTGCATTCTGAATACATAAGGATTTAATTACATGCATCAAAAGAACCTTCAAGATAGAGCTGCAAATCTTTTTTATGTCTCCCCCATTATTATAGAAATTGGCAAGAAATTAAGAAAGCTTGGATCTCAAAGTGTGGAATATCCTTCATCTTCCTTCAGTGGTATGGATTTACTGGCCTCAGCCTGAAGCCTAAAGTGTGGAATATGAAGTATTTGCCTATGGGAAATTTATTTTTGACACCCATTTATGATGATGATTATTATTATTATTATTATTACTACTACTACGATTACTATTACTAGGACAAAGTTTGAGTCCAGTGGCACCTTTAAGACCCAACAAAGTTTTATTCAAAGTATAAACTTTTGTGTGCAAAGCACACTTCTTCAGATAAGGGGAAAGGTGCCACTGGACTCAAAACTTTGTTCTGCTGCTTCAGACCAACATGGCTACCCACCTTAAGATTACTATTACTGTCATTACTACTACTACTAAGAAAATTTGGCCAGGATCAGGGAGAGATGGTTCAGGTTCTCCCTCAGCTGTGAAGTCCAGTGTGCTTGCCTAATCTATTTTACAGGGTTGTGAAGATAAAATTGCATTGGGGTATCTGTGCTTATTGGAGGAAGGCTGAAATAAAAATGTAATAAATACAAGAATAAACCCAGATTTATGTTTGCAACATGCATATAGAGATTGCAAACATCTTCTAGAAACTATCAGGCTTTTAGCTGCAAGTTTCCCATATCCTTTGAGGTAGATGCTATAAGGAAGACGGGAGAAGATTTTGAAGAGAAGAAGGAGAAGGAGAAGGAGAAGAAGAAGTGGAGATTGGATTTATATCCCACCCTTCAGCGGCTTACAAACTCCTTCCCTTCTCCTCCCCACAACAGACACTCTGTAAAGTAGGTGGGGCTGAGAGTGCTCTTTCAAGAACTGCCCTTTCAAGAACAGCTCTTGTCAGAACTATGGCTTGCCCAAGGTCATCCAGCAGCTGCGAGTGGAGGAGTGGGGAATCAAACCCGGTTCTCCCAGATTAGAGTCCACGCACTTAACCTCTACACCAGACAGGAGCCATGGTTCAGAGATGGAGTAGATGCTTTGCCTGTAGAAGGTCCCAGGTCCAACACCCAAGATCTCCAATTCCAAAGGTTAGGTAGCAGGGTGTGTGAAAGACTTCTAGGTAATAGGGGAAAGTGTGGGGGTGTGAAAGGCCTGGAGAGTCAATTCTAGCCGGAGAAGACAATGCTGAGCCATCATCTAAGGTAACACTATATGTTCAAGATAGAAGAAAGATGAACATACGTGTACCAAAGCTTAGGGTGTCGGCTAATGGAATGGTTCTTCCCATTGGCTGGAGAGTCTTTTGTTGCTGATTTACTCAATAGGAACTCCTGAAGTTTCTGCTTAACTTCTGTACTGGCCACTGCTCCTAGAACATACAGAAGTGTTTAAAATGGTTTAATAAGATGGAGTGCTGAGAATTCATGTTTAAAAATACATCCAACAGTTATTGTCAGAGAAAATGTGAAAATGACAGTCAAGCAATAGTTCTAATCAAATAATGCCTCTCCATGCAACTTGGTTCTTTTGATCCTGGTCCAAAAGTCTAATGAAAGAGCCATTATATTGAATTTGGTTTAAATTAGGCCTTTTGTCTTCTCTTCCATTTTTGGACCAAATTCATAAAAATGTCATGCAGGTGAAGAGGCTTGTGAAAGTATATATTTTATTGTGCATTGCTTTGATTTATCCATAAAAGAATCATTTCTGTGAAGTCAAGCAGTACTCATACCACTTTTTAACTGTCTTCTTCTGACTCCTCCCTGCCCCTTGAAGTGGTCGCAAGGTAGCTTCCGACAAATCCATAATTTTATAATTGCTGGATGATCTGAAGCTAAAAGCCAAAGTCTATGAAATGGATGTCACAGGAAGATCATTTTAAGTTGTTCCTTATAACGATGGTCTCCCCTGATAAGCTATTATATATATTGGTTCATCATGAGGTTTAGGAAATTTTCTTGACACCACTGCAGATCACCCAAAAAAGTTTGCAATCCACCCTGGACATAAATTGCTTGCTGAGCAGAAGCAACATTCACAGAGAGCATTTCAAAGTTCCCCCACCATGTGCCAATAGGTTTTGCATCTACAGACCCCATTCGAATGATTGCAAATTCAGTAGCAAGGAGTTTGGTTAAAACGGAACAGGCAACCATGGATAGCACAGTCAGTCCACAAGGAGATTTTCTTGCATAGCTTCACTGAAATCAGGGCAGTGGTATTTCTTCCAAGGGGCATTTGCAAGAAGAGTTCCTCACAGATGGTAAAAAAAAATCAGACAGCGCTTTTAAAACAGACATTAGGTGTAAATAAGAGGTTTAATTTATTGTTGATTTAGTGTAGGGTTGCCAGTCTCCAGGTGGTGGCTGGAGATCTCCCACTATTACAACTGATCTCCAGGCGACAGAGATCAGTTCATGTTGAGAAAATGGCTGCTTTGGAAGTTGGACTCTACGGCGTTATGCCCCAAACTCTGACCTCCTCAGGCTCCACCCCCAAAATCTCCAGGTATTTCCCAACCCAGAGCTGGTAACCCAAATTTGATGGCTCTCGTTTTGGGAAATGGATGATTGTATGGTATGGATCTGATTTGTTTATATGGTGAACTGCCTGGAGTTCTGTTCAGGAGGAAGAGCAGCGTACGAATTTTAAGTAAACAAATAACTGTGAAATACTTTCTGGAAAAATTGTAGATAATGGCCCTGATGCCAGAAGAGGCTCTCACCAAATATATGAGCTTCCTCTTTCAATTCAAAGACATAATTCTCCATGATTAATAAGCGACAGGCATGCATACTCTTCACATGGAAAGAAGAGACAACCACAACCACATGCCAATTAGAGTCTGAACAGCATGTGTGCAGCAGGGAGTTTTCAAAAACACAATGCAAACTGGAGACATCTGCCATGAAGCACATGTGTCAATGTGAATGGCAAAGTAGTACAGAGGCCAGAGAATCCGGTTTCAAAAGTCAGAACTTGGTGGCATACTACCACTTAGTTTATATCATTCCCCATATAAGCTAAACATATCTTTTTTGCATGCCATAAAGTCTTCTATTTTGTTGAAAATTAACACACATTTCATTATCCCCAGAGATTTTTCATTGACAACAAATGTGTTGGGTGGTTCCAATTGGTTAACTCCCCAAATAGCATTTTGAAGCAAAGGAACTATTTTGAGTTTCGCTCCCATTTCTGAGGGGAATTATATGTATCTGCCTCCCCCTAGTGAGTATCGCATTCCAGTCTTGTTCTTTCATTTTGAATTTATTCGCCATAAAGACACAGTAAGAGGGGCTTGAGTGAGTTAACATTCATACACCAAGCTACAGAATTATGTGAAGGTTAGCGGTAAAACCATGAGCACATGAAAATAAATGATACATAGATACGTGCAAATCCTAGCAGTGCAGTTCATGGACAGGATGAAACTGGTGCATAGTGAATCCAAACAGAACTCAGTTGACAGCCCATGTTTTGAGATATGCAATATCTGATAAATTGTGACCACTAATAGTCGACGGTGGTGGTTTAGGTAGCAGTGGGCCAACAGAAACTGGGCTCGGCTAAGCAGATCTTACTTTCTCGGCTTCTTTCTTTGCTTCTGATTGGAGGAAGCTGCTCCCTGCGATGCCGTTCCAGTTCCTGTTCTTGCCTCTGTTGCTCCAGCTTCTGTTCTTTTTCAAGGAGTTCTTGTTGTTGCTTAATGGCCAAGAGTTCCTGTTGTAACTTGCAAAAAAGACAAAGTCATGAGAAATCACAGTCAAGCCAAGTCAACCTCATTCTAGTTGTTGACAATGGCTACAATCCAACTAAAGTCAAGCATCATGGTCCTATCAAATAAAACGGGACTTGCGTTAGTTATGGCTCATGTGCCATTCATTTCAGCGGAACCCTAACCCAATGCCTAACTTTAACTGACCAGGGCCGAAAATTGACATCTATTCTTTACTTTCATGTTTGTCTTCCAGTTCGGTGTTCTGCTGCTTTTTAATGAGAAATATGTCATAAAAGGTGATACAGTATAGTAAATGTGGCTTCCCTTAGTGGATGTCTCCATACAGCCAGGCTTTTGTGTGCACGTTCTGCACATTTGTTGCAGGAGCTAACAGCTCTGATTGTTGTCCTCAAGCAACAAGAAATTCTGCACATCCAACTACTTACAGTTTTGTGTGCAACAGACAGAAAGCACTAGCATAACACAAAATCAAATATCCATGTGGGATTTTTTGAGCTGCTTTACTGAAAGTCCGTACTTAAATTTCAGTCTTATTTGGGACTCAGTATAAAAAGTCACTTTTGCTATTTCCATTTTTATGGGTACATGCAGTCCAAAAGTAACAGACAGCCCAAAGATATTTTGTCAAGCTTTACATTATATATGAACAAAATGGAAGGCAATGTGGGAGCCAAGCATGTTTGTGTATCTTTGGCAACCATACACCTTTGTGAAATGAAGAGTGCTCAGAACTTCCAAAAGTCACAACTTTTATTTTAGGAGCTAAACACTTCACAGATTTGGCTGAAATTCTCAATACAAACTGTACAGCGTAAATTATGCATATGACAGTGAGGTAAAATTGGGCCTCATGAGCTGGGATTTTAGCAGAGACAAAACACACATATATTCAAAATATCAATATGACACTAACTGAGCTCCCTAATAGGCTAGAAACTTTTCAGAATATTGTGATTCTGAACCTCTTGTTCTGCAGGGAAAGAAAGCTTGCTATAAGATAAAAAAATTCAGACAGACCCTTTTCAAACTGCCTTTGTATTCTGTTTTAGTAACTGGTTGCTAATGAATTTTTTCTGTCATTTCAGACAGTCTCATTTTAGTAACCACCTGCTACCAAAATTTATTTACCTGTTCATACAAACCCTCTTGCATTGGGTTAACAAAGTGTAGTTGAGCTGCTTTTGACAGAAACTGCCTTTCCCCCATTTTCAACCCCTTCATTGTGCTTCTGAATCACTGTGGTGTGCTGTCTAAAATGTCCATAGCACTTCCTACAATGTTGCTTCCCCTCGCCATTTTTCATTGCACAATCTTCCACGGACTGTTTAACGTTATAAGGTGAGTGCTTCAGTGCTGCACTGCTATAGCACTTCAGTGTGATTTAGCACTACAGAACCTTAGAACATTTTTTTAAAGTCCGAGGAAGATCGCGTGGCGAAAAGGGGGGAGGGAAGCGGCACTACTTGAAATGGCCATAGCACTTCAGAGACAGCTCATTAACAGAAAGAAATTTGCTGCATGAAACTTCTGTCTTTGCATTGCTTTGCTCAAAATTGGGCCAACAACGAATAACATACGGTTTAGAATTGTAATGTGAAAAGGGCCATAGCCTCATTTACTGTGTGCGCCTGAAGACATTCTTTACAAAAGACAACCAAAGCATCATCTGCATGCAAAGTAACATGAGCTTTCATTGCACACTGTGCTCATGTCTAAAAGTCATAGCTCAAGTTCAGTTACTGAACAAAGACTTTCCCCGAGCCCACCCATTCCTCACCATTAGTCTTTCAACATTAATCTCATTATGGTGGAATCTGGGGGAAAGAAGAAACACCTTCCTACCTTTATGTGCTCCTGGATCTGTGCTTGGTGCTGTCGGGTCAGGTTCTCATGCTGTTTCTGAAATTCTGCAATGAGAAGCTGTTTCTGAATCTGCTGCTGCTGCTGGATAAGTAGCAGTTCCTGCTGCAGCTGCTTTTCCCGCAGAATTGGGTCCACCATGGGAACCATCATCCTGAGATCTGTTCGCAAGTCTAATGGTGTGATCGGTTCTAACCTCACCGGTACTTCTGACTTCACGTCTACTGGTAGGCAAGGACAAAAAGAAAAAGCAGAAAAGATATTGCCATGTCAGAGCTTTACAAGAATCCAAGCAGTGTGGAGAAAGGGTGTGGGGAGAACACCCTTTCTGGAACTTGGAGTGGGCTGCCAAAGCTGATAGGCTGTGGAACCAAGAGTGATAGACAGAAGTACTTCTTCACACAGCACTTAATTAGCTTTTAGAATCTGCAGAAGTCCACTGGCTTAGATGGCTTTAGAAAGAGCTGAGAGGAACTCATGGAGGAGAGCAGGCCCATCAATGGCTATTTGAAGAACTAACAAGAGGGTTGTTGCCTTCAAGTTCTCTTGTGGGTTTCCAGAAAGCACTTGGCAAGCCAGTCCTTGAAGTAGGATGCTAGTCTAGATGGACTCTTGGTCTGAATCACACAAGGCTCTACTGACATTTTAAGGTTTTAGAAGTAATGAAGACAAGCCTGAATTTACACTACCTGCTAAAAAAAAAAATCTAAGGAGATTTTCTTTGTCACTGTGAATAATCCAAAAGTGTATAAAAATTCACGCTAGCTACCAAAAGTATTTTATTCAGCAGCTACCTTTAAAAGGTCTTATGGTTTTCCCTGCTCTTGAGTTAAATACATACAGCAATGTTCCACCTGGTAGTTGGGGATGGCATACTTTTGTCCATTAACTGAAACTGGAGGCATGCTTCGTTGCCACATGCCAGAGGCTTGCCTTGTAATCTATAAAAATAAGAACTACCTGTCCCTAGAAAATTCTGCTATGAGATTTCTGGAGAGGGTGTGTACATGAGCCCAGATGGATGGAGCTGTGCCTTGTAAGTTGCCTCTCTCTCTCTGTTCCCTGTTCACTTGTCAACAGCTCTCTCCCTCTCTTTCTCATGGGTATTTCAGGAATCCTACTTGCAGGAATCTTACTGCGGGACAAGGTCCCCAGGGTAATGCTTCACAGCCTCAGGAGCCGTCTCGCTTTAGAAGGAGGCTGGAGAAATCAGGGCTACAGACAAGAGTTCATTCGGCTGTGGTGACTGTTGCGGTCAAACAGGGGCATTCAGACCTTGCTTCTGACACTTCCCTCCACTCCTTCCCTGTGCTCTTCATCCAGAAGCCTCTCCTGCCAGACGCTCATGCTGTGCCTTTATCCCTTATCAGGGAAAGGGGGTGGGGCACCCACCCTGCTGGCAATGGCAACTGGCCACTTCAGCTTGGCCCGACTCACTTCTGGTCAGTCCTCCCCCACCCCAGACAGACACCCGGTGTTTCTGCAGGAGCCAGCTGTGCTTCCCAACTGAAAGCAAACGGAGCAACAGCCAGGACTCAAGAAAAAATGCCACAGCAAGCTTCCAGGAAGGCTGGGCGATCCTTTTGCATCTGAAGCGACCGAGCACTCTGATCACACCCACTGCAGATGTACAACTGAATTAGCCACCCAAACTGCCACCTCAGCAGAGTCTGATTGGAAGGACACAGCTTATAGCTTCAGCTTAAACAAAGATACGGCAGGCAGCCATGATACTTTGGGTTCACAGGAACTTTTAATTATCCAATTCATTAATTTTCTGCCGCCACTTAGACGTTCTCTCGCAGCCCACTGCAAGCATGTTTCAGGACAGGAATTGCTGTGGTGACACTTCCCAGCACTGTGGGAGGTGAGGAGAAAGGGGGGGGGAATGTGAGGGCGGGAACATTTCCAGAGCAAAAACACACTTTGATGGGGAATTAAATTCAGGTCCTCAGAAGTGAGGGAAGTGTTTCTAAGGCTTGGAAAGGGGGTTTATTGCCAAAGGCAGGATCTCAGCCTGGTTTCCATGAATAGGAACAACGTCTGGAACACAAATAAGATGAAAAAAAGGGTAATACTCTCTCTCTCTCTCTCTCTCTCTCTCTCTCTCTCTCTCTCTCTCACACACACACACACACACACACACACACACTCCTCTGCACTCTTCTTACTTTGACATCCATGCCAAACCATTATGGTTCTATATTTAGACAGAGGATTGAGCTACAGTATGCTAGCAAGGTTTTGGGAGAACAAGATATGTGTTGGTTTCTCCCTCTACTTCTAAGAGTCACAATGAACCATGAAGATTTCTGTTCTGGTGTCACAGAGTTTGTTCTAGATGGAAGTATTGCCTTTAGGTGTGGCTCACAACCAGGGTCGTCACAAAATTCCCTTAGTTAAAAACCACCCAAACTAAAACTGAACCAGTAAGATAGCCCCACATTTGTTATTTGGAAAGACTGCCTCCTTGCCTCAGGTCACAGCAGCTACACAGAACTTAATTAAGTCCAATAGCAGAATACCACATGGGATAAGAGATGTATTGTCATTTATACAACCTGTGGAACATCCAGCAACTCCCTAATGGGGGCCAGACACTCCAGCAACTCCCTGATGGGGCCCAGTGGGAAGTTTGCCACTAGAACATTTTAGAAGTCATACCAACTGTCATTGATTTAGCCACAGAATTAGAGTTCTCCATATTGTTTGCCCAGAAAGAAAATCTATTCTAGTTGTGAGCAGAATAGGGCCCATGGAGCAAAATGGAACATGTGACATTTCATCCAGTAGAGGGCAGTAGTACACAAGTAGACCAGCCATCTGTTTCAAAGACAAAAACTCTTCATTAGCCTCAGTGTCCAGATGTACATATCAGAGGTATGCAAATCTGGACAACAAGAGTCTTCTCCATTAAAAAAGAAAAAACACCACCACAAAATAGAACATTTGCTTTCCTTGTTTAATTTACATTTTCTCAAGTAGATCACTATAGAGAAGATGGGACTCAAAATCTAATAGGACTATTCAGGCAGTAACATGATCTGTAAGCTCTTCAAACAAGAAGTATAAATGCAGTTTTTTAAAAATATATACTTGAATCAATATTGTTAAGCTTATAATCCAGCAAAAGAAAAAATGGTGGGAGATGTTGAGTGCCTTGTACTTTTCCTATCAATAAACAGATAGGGTTGTTTTTTAAAAAAAATTTCGGAACAGCTATTGTGAATCCCAGAGCATAATTTGCATGCCTAGTTTTCGACCCAGATGGTATTATCTTGCGCCAACTCCTGGCTTTTGTTCTAATCACAAAATTATAAAAAAATCACCCTTAAGTTACAAAAACTACCCTTGATTATAAATAATTGTCCCAGCCCAAGAAAAGAAAGCGGCCAGCAAGATCCCAGCCCTTTCATCCAATTTATTCTGCAGCAACCCACATTCCATTTGTCTAGACTAAATATAGCAGCGTTTATACAAGAAATCAATAGTGCTTGGAGAGAGCAGAGCAAAGACATGAATATTTCATCAAACTCACAGAGAAATGGCAATCAGCAAACTGACAGCTCAGTGGAGGCTGACTCCTCCGGCCCTGCAGATAAGCCTTTGTTATTTGGACGGTGGCTCATCCCCCTTCAAGTCACAGCCTTATCACAGGCAGGATTCTATTTTTAGCATTAATTGCATTGTAGGTGACAAAGGCTTATCATGTTTAAAGTGGAGAGATGGATTTTCTTACATCCGTTCTGCCATATAATAAGCCTTGCCAGGAACAACACAAGTTGCCCGAGTGCTGCAAAATCCAGCCGCATTTGGGGGCTTGCAAACTGAACCCCACAATTTGAGTGGAAATCTCTCCCCCCCTTCCCTTCCCCCAGAGTTCTCTGCACTCACAGCTCAATTTGACATATTCCAGATACTGAAACAAAGAACATATTACAAAACAAAGCATGTACACATGGTACAAAGAAACAAGATAAAAAAAGAAAAAGAATGGTGGAAATTGTAGGGTCATCAACGTGAACTACATATTTTTAGCGTTCTCCAATTTATCAGTTTTATGACCCACACGTTCACAGTTATAATTCTTCACTCTGAGGGGTTTTTTAAGTCCAGGACTTTAAAACGTTACCTAAAAGTACTAAATACTCAAGCTTCTTGCTGACTAATTAAGTGGCCCATATTTGGGACAGTTATAAAAAATGCAAAAACCCAAACCTACAAGGCAAGCTCAAGATGGGCAGCACCCAAAGGTCCTGCTCTGTTAATGGTGGAACCTTCCTCAAAAGGAACTGGCCTGTTGCACCGCTGGAAAGTTCCTTGCACTGAAGGAAGACTCTGCCCTTAGTAACAAAATCTTTGCATCCATCCCAAGATAACAATGCATAAGACAGCCTTCCAGAAAGATAACTGGATGTATCATAGTTTCAAAGGGCAGCGGTGTTAGTCTGCAATAGAACAGCTACATTTGAGTCCAGTAGCACTTTAGAGACCGACCAGATTTTTAGGGAATAAGCATTTGAGAGGTTGCAGTTGTGATGATTACCTGCAGCAGCAAGCTGACGATAGGTTTGGGGTACTGTACATTCTGATTATTAATTACTTTAGAACCGGCTCAGTCCCAAGTTGCTAGCAGAAATTTAGGAAACAATCATTTCCTTTAGCCTTGATAGTATATCCACTGCTGGATACAGATTTGCTGCCGTGGGAGAGAAATAATTTGTGCATGGCCACTCCAGTGGTGGAGTTTGTTGCTGTGGGCTGTGGTGTGCTGTGAAAATACGATGTTTCTTCTGAACACTGTGTGTGCTGTGGTTGTATTGTTTCTCCTCTCTCTCTCTCTCTCTCTCTCTCTCTCTCTCTCTCTCTCTCTCTCTCAAGGAGGTATCTACTGTCTCTTGGACCCAGTCTGCCAGCCCCCCCCCCGCAGATTTAAGGAACCAGGAGGGGGCAAGGGTCATACAAGCAGGCAGTAGGTCTCAGACTTCCAAGAATTCTGCCTGCGTCCTCATGTCCACATCCACTGATGGGAAGGGGTTCTGCCAATTGATGGAATATTCTTTATCAGTGACAAAACAGATTCAGTGTTAATGAACAAGCATCCACAAACAATGGTGCTATCATTGTAACATATTAAAACATACTGAATGATTTTGAACAGGGAAGGTGTTGGCTTTTTTTTCATTAAAAACATATTATAGGCTGGGATCCAGAAAGCACA